GCGAGCTGCCCGTTGTCAGACAGAGCAGAACTGAGTTCAGAGAGGATGTGGGACAATCAGTTATGATTTGTTAGTAGACTAGATCAGTTTGAGATACTGTATGTTCTGAGTGTTGTCAAAGGTTGGTTTACAGCAGAAATGTATTGTACTGAACAAACATATTTGGTCATAGTTGTACTTTCTTCAGAACTGATGTTGAGTGCATGCTTAATTACAGATTTCATAAACACAGCTTTTTGTCTCAGTTTTCAGAAATACCAATTTAGCATTTCCTCTTTGTTCATTTGCTCATTAATCTCATAAGTCTATAGAAAAAGAAGCTTCTTTATCTCAGTCTGAACAAAAGTGTCCCCCCCACCCCTAACTTCCTTATTTCTGACTCATAACAGCATCTGTAGAAAAAAAGGTCACATCTCTGTTGCTAATGACAACTTTTGAGATTGCCTCTGTGCTGTGAGTTTCTGTGATTGCTCCATCTGTTGGGATCAGTCGCCCCCTGCTGTTTCACATTCTTTTACTGGTGACCAACTGTATAATGTTGCCATGCCAACCACAACGGGCCTTTTGGGAGTTGAGAAGTAGATTCAGCGTCCACCTGTGATTGTGGAAATCAAAGGAGGCAGCTGGGGGCCTGTTTAAGTAAAGAGTAAAACCTAGAGGTTGTTTTATCAGGTTAAGAAGTTCTCCTGCCACGAGTTGATTTCTGATAGTTTCACTAATTACCTGCAATTACAGTTATTAATTAGTTGGTTTCCTGCAGTAACAAATTGATCTCCACTTGGTGGCAGTGGAAAGTAGTCAAATGCTTAAGCCTTTCTTGGAGTAATATGACAAATTATTTTGATGCATTCTCAATAATCCAGGTAGAAAAATCTAAAAAAGTTAAACTTGGTCCTCTGGACATTCAAAAAACAAAACAAAAAAACTGTAGAAACGTTTCGTCTTTCATCCGAGAGACTTCCTCAGTCTGAGGTGCTGTATTCAGCTCAGTCTCTTAAATAGCACCTTCTCAGAGTGGATCAACCAGTTTTGCTGCTGACAACCAAAACCAGCTGATCACATGATCAAGAAGGACCATCAGCCTAACAATGGATCATTAGCACACTGATGGCTGTTTACTATTCACAGAGGACTGAGTGATACTATTATTATTATTGCTAGTAATGCTAGTATTATTGCTATTATATGATTATCGCTAGTATCACTCAGCCCCCTGTGAATAGTAAACAGCCATCTGTGTGCTAATGATCCATCGTTAGTCTGAGCTTGTTTTAAAAGTTACCTGCAGAGACAGAGAGTGGAGTTTCTTTTATTCTTGTTCCACCACATGTACCTGTGTAAACAGGGTCTCTGTATATCCAACAATAAAATGTAAAAGAAAAACTAATAAGATCTAAGATATGAACTAAGAAAAACATCAACTAAAAATACGCTATGCACCAATGGCATAAAAACAATAAAAACAATACACTGAACAGCAGCACAAACATGAGTCTGTGTGAGCAAATGAGTACAAATGAACACAGCAACATGAATCAGATCAGCAGCAACATGAAACAGATCAGCAGCAACATGATGCGATTTTTTTCACAGTGATTATCCTGGTTAGATATTCATGAGTCTAACAGACTCAGGGTAGAAGCTGTTCCTCAGTCTAGTGGTTCTACACTTAATGCTCCTCAGCCTCCTTCCTGAGGGAAGGGGCAAAGAGTGTGTGTGCTGGGTGAGTGTGGTCCTTCATGATGCAGGTGGTCCTCTTCCTGCATCTGGAGGTGTAGATGTCTGTGATGGTGGGGAGACTGATTCCAACATCTTCTGTGCAGCCTTCACCACTCTCTGCAAAGCTTTTCTTTCTGCAGCTGTGCAGCCTCCATGCCACACGTTGATGCTGGAGCACAGGATGTTCTCCACTGCACACCTGTAGAAGGAGGTGAGGACTGAGCTTCCAGACCAGCTCATCTCAGCCGTCTGAGGAAGTAGAGTCTCTGATGAGCTTTCTTGATCAGGCTGGTGGTGTTGTTGCCCCAGCTGTTGTTATTCAGATGCACACCCAAGTACTTGTAACTGGAGACCACTTCCACTGCAGATCCTCCTATGTTCAGGGTAGTGGGGGGTAGGCGTGTTTGTTCCTTCTGAAGTCCACAATCATCTCTTTCGTCTTCTTCACATTTATGTGAAGGTTATTCTCCTTGCACCAGTTCTCCAGGTGTTCCACCTCCTGCCTGTAGCTGGACTCATTGTTGTTTGTGATACATTCAACCACAACTGTACCATCTGCAAACTTTACAATGTGATAGCCTGGATTGGTAGGTGCACAATCATACGTGAGCAGAGTGAACGGGAGAAGGCCCAGCACACATCCCTGAGGGGAGCCAGTGCTGAGGGTTATGGTGGAGAAGAAGTTGTGGATCCTCACTGACTGTGGTATGTTTGTTAAGAAGTCTAGGACCCAGTTGCAATTGGAGTAGCTTAGTCCTAGTGTGAGTAATATGTCCATCAGGGTTTGGGGGATCATGGTATTGAAGGCAGATGTGAAGTCCACAAAGAGCATACGGACGTAGGAGACTTTCTGCTCCAGGTGGGTGACAGCAGTGTGGACCACAGAGGAGGTGGCATCCTCTCTTGATTGATTCTCATGGTATACATACTGGTGAGGGTCCTGGTGAAGGTTATTGGTTGTTCTGATGTGAGTCATGACCAGTTTTTCGAAGCATTTAGCGACTATCGGGGTGAGGGCTACTGGCCGGTAGTCATTCAGACCAGTCACTGTAGAGCTCTTTGGGACTGAGATGATGGTAACGGTCTTCAGGCAGGTGGGAACTGCTGCCAGGGTAAGTGAGGAGTTAAAGATGTCAGCCAGCACCTCGCAGAGCTGATCGGCACATTCTTTCAGCACCTTACCGGGGATGTTGTCTGGGCCGGTTGTTTTGTGAGAATTAATCCTCCTGAAATTACACCTTACTTCGGATGAGGTCATGCTGAGAAGCTCTTCATCCGGTGGTGAGGTGAGTCAGGTGCTGGGTGGTCTGTTTGGATGTTCAAAGCGTGCGTAAAATTTGTTGAGGGCATCAGGCAGTGATGGGTCTCCAGGGCATTGTTCACTTCTGCCTTTAAAATCTGTTATACACCTACTGCAATTCAATTCAGTTTATTTATGTAGCGCCAAATCCCAACAAAGTTGTCTCAGGCCACATTACAGGCACATTCACATACATAGAAAAGCCAATTAGTAAAGTTCTCTAAGAAAGCTAGCAGACATGTTGAATATTGGCTTCTTTGCAGTCTCCCATCCTGAGCAACCACAATGGCAACAGTGGAAATGAAAAACTCCCTTAATGCCCTGCCACATGTTCTGTCGGTATTGTGAGGTGAATTGACCCTGGTTCCTCTGTGCATATGTGGCCTTGGCCCTCTTAATATCAGCAACCAGCTCTTTCCTTGTCCTTCTTAATTTCTGTGAGTTTCCAGACCTGAAGGTAGTGTTCCTGGCTTCCAGCAGGGTGCGAACCTCTGCATTCAGCCAAGGCTTTCTGTTCGGGTAACGTAACATATGTGATGGTGGTGACGTCATCAGCACATTTACTAATGTACCCCAGAACTGAGGATGTGTATTGCTCCAGGTCTAGTGCCAGCAGCTTCTCTGAAGACCTGCCAGTCTGTGCGTTCGAAACAGTCCTTCAGTATGGGGCCACTATTCTGGATCCAAGATTTAACTTTCTTTTGTACCGGTCTGGAGCGTCTCAGTGGGGGCAGGTAAGCAGGAGCCATGAAGATTGACATGTGATCAGAGAATCCTAGGTGAGGGCGAGGCTTGGCTTTGTATGCATCTTTTACGTTCATTTAAACACAGTCCAGCGTGTCGTTTCCACGTATTGGAATGGCCACATGCTGGTAAAATCTTGGGAGGCAGTCTTCTATATTCACATTATTAAGGTCACCAGCCACTACGTAAAGAGCCTCAGGGTGTTTGCTCTGCAGCGAGCTGAAAAGATCATGAAGCTCCTGCAGAGCGTCAGTAGCATTAGCATCCGGAGCTATGTAAACAACTGTTATGAAGACCACTTTAAACTTGGGGGATAGATAACGTGGTCGACATTTCACTGTTAGCTGCTCCAAAGCCTTGGAGCAATGATGGTTTATCAGTGTACAGTTTGTGCACCAACTTTTACTCAAGTAAATGCATACTACCCCCCCCCCCCCCCCCCACACACACACAATTTGCCCGTTAGCTTGCTGCAGCGATCTGCTTGATGGTTCCTTGGACAACTTTTGACATTTTTCACGTTACTGAACCCCCTGTTTTTCTTATACATTTTATTGTTGGATGTAACTGGAACCCTGTGTACATAATTTCACTCCACCACATGTACCACATGAGGTGCGAATGACAATAAAGAAACTCTGACTCTCTGACTCTGACTAAACGGTGCAATATAAATAAAGTAAATGAAACGAATGGAAGAATTATAATGTGCTTCATTCAGTCTCAAAGACTTGGAAAAATTCAGATGTAAGAGAATAATTTGACTTTTTGTTCACCGATTTCTACAACAATACAGTAAAAATACATCCAAAGGAAATTACAGTTTTTATTGTTTTATAATTCATACACTGAAGGTGCTCATACATAATATGTATTTTTCCTATAAAATATATTACCTTTCCAGAAAGCAAAACTAAATATAAATTACAAGTTTTTTTTAATTTATTTATTTTTTTAAAGAAGCAACTAACTTTCAAGTGTCAATCAAGGCAATCAACTGGATAAGCAATCAAATGCATTGCAAATTTAAGAAATCACATTCTAATAAAGACATTTTGTCCTCTGCTTAGCTAAGCCACAATGCTTGAGCACTTTGCCCGCTGTCCAGCAACACCCACACACACAACGAGGAGCATTTTCTAAAATAGCAAATACTCCTTATAAAAAATGCTGAGCATGGTTTTTATGTGAGGAAAACAAAGACTGAAATTTCAGTTGTAATGAAGAGGGAGCAAAGTGAGTGTTTTAACAGAAGAAAAGAGAACGGATGTTTCTTGAAGTCTGTCATTTTGCAGTTTTCCTCCTGGATTTCCACTCTGTAGTTCTCCCTACTGGATAAAAATCCTCCATCGCTGTCATGTAGAATCTGAATGAACATCTGGGATTGTCTGCCATCACAACAGCTCGCCATGTCCAGATGATGAGTTGAAGCTGTCTGCAAGAAGGAACATCAACTAAAAGTTACTATTATTCATCTGTTCAGCTGAATGCATCACTTACAGTCCGTTTTATAGCTATCAGTTCAATGATGACACAAATCAACGGACGCTGTTACACACACATGCACACAGACACACACAGATAAAAACAGGAAGACATGTACCAGACACGTCCAGTGACTTATTTCTGTTTTGTGGTAGTCTAGGTTTTTTCATGGGGGGTTTGCGATTTGGGTGCTTCTCAACATTATTAGGACTTTCTCTTTCAGTGCCTGAGTTCAGTGGAGAATAAAAACAGATTAATAAAACACGTTCCCTCGGCAAATTTCTACACAACCCTATCTCCAAAAAGCTGGTCTTACTTTTTGTAATGCAAGAAAAGTAAGAGAAAACTTCAGGTCTTCAAACTCCACAACATTCAAACTCCGGATTCTTTAGGTTGGCAGATTATATTTTTAATAAAATGGTATTAAAAAAATCACTTTCAACATTTTATGTGTTGATTTTCAAATTCTTTCAATTGAAAGAATTGAGCTCAAAGGGTTTCAAATCATTGGTTTCTGTTTTTATTTAAAACCTAAATCAAACCTTTTTGGAAATAAGGTTGTTCTGCTTCGAAACGTTCCGGTAATGATAAGTGAGTTTCTTTTACCTGCATCACAAGACATGGCTTTTCTGTTCCTCTGTGGTTTCACTGGTGCCTGAGGCCTCAGGCCTTCTTCACCTGAACGACACGGACAAAGCATGTAAAATAAATGAGACACGGCATTTATCAAGACAAATATATCTATGAGTGATTTTAAAACAGTTATTGACCAAAGTGCTGTACAGGTAAAAAGAATGAGTATAGAGACAAAACAAACTATATTAAAAAAAAAAAAATCCATGATAAATATTGTTGGTGTGCATAAACTTAGTCTGGTTTAAATACCAAAGATTAGAAATGAGTTTTGAAACAGCTTTGGAAGGTTTCTGTTTTGGAACAAGATGCTGGCGAGACAGCAAATTAAAGATTATTATAAAAGTCAAGTCTGAATTATAAGTAAGTAATGTTATTATATACATATTATAAGTAATGTTTTTACGCTATTAGTGCTTAGTGTATTTTTAGTTGATGTTTTTCTTAGTCCATATCTTAGATGTTATCATTGTTTTCTTTTACATTTTATTGTTGGATGTAACTGGGACCCTGTGAACATAATTTCACTCCACCACATGTACCACATGTGGTGCAAACGACAATAAAGAATCTCTGAGTCTGAAGTGAACAAACACATTATTATTTTAAAATCATTGAAGGAATGGTCTAAAGGGCTCCCAGCTGGAAGAAACGAGCTTTTACCACTAAATAAAAGAATGTTCTCAAAAACGGCTTTCAATTATATTTTTTGCAAAGTGTGTTTTGTATGACTGGCAGCTCTACAGTCTTTACTGTGGGTCCAGTAAGGAACAGGTCTAACAATGAGCAGTTCAGTTTTGTCAAAATGGAAGTAGCACGTTGCTTATTTTTCAAGTTATACATCTTACAAGGTTTACATATGTGGCAGCAGCCATCTTGTATTTTGAACGTGGCAACCCAATTTTCCAAAGGAACCTTTTCTTAAGCCTAGATGAAGCCCCACACCAAAATGAAAGTTGGTACCGTTATTTTTTCAAGTTACTCACATTATGGATGGACATACATGGCAGCAGCCATCTTGGATTTTCATGTGGCAACCCAGTTTTTGACAGCAGTCTTTCTTAAACCTAGACGCAGCCATATACCAAAATGGAAGTCGGTACCTCGCTTATTTTTCAAGTTATCAAGCTCATAATACGGATGGACGAACGAGCAAATGGAGGGTAATTTCAGTTCCTCTCTTTGCTCTGGGACGGGGACAAAAACGTTGGACTTTGTTTTTCCCATGACTGTAACTCAGCAGCTGTACTGAAATAATAATTCTGAGTTTTGCTTTTGTTGTGTTCTAACAAAACCTTTTTGGGAGTCAGATGTTTCTTTGTAAAAACACTTGTTTACTTGAAGGATTTTGGTATTTTGTGCCGAAGTGTTCAGATCAGATCTTTGCATTTTACATGAATTAGTATTTTCAGTGCAGGCACCTTGACTTGCCGCTCTGTCTGGCAGTCCGTGTATCACCTTGTTGACAGGAGGTGGGACAGGAGGAGGAGGCAAGGTTCTTTCACTGGCTGCTTCTTTTGGAAATGTCACAAAAGACGAGGTCTTTGGCTAGGTGGCACAGAACACAAGAGTTAGCAAAGCTGCTCAAGATCTAATCAAAAAGATCTGGTACAGGACACAAATGCAAGTAGGTATTTCTGCAGACAAATTCAGAAGGCGTATCTGGACGGTCACATCTGATTGGATGATAAGAAAGAAGGTGTAT